AAAAAAAAAAAGAGTAACTCCCCATCAGTCTCTTCCCTAGTCTCTTGTAACCAGTATTCTGCTTTCTGACTTTATGAATTTAGGTACTTGAGGTACCTCCTATAATGGAATCATACAGTATTTATCCTTTTGTGTCTCACTTTTTCACTTAGCATAATGTTTTCAAAGTACCTCCCTATTATAGCATTTATCAGAATTTTCTTTGTTTTTAATGTTTATTTATTTTCAAGAGAGAGACAGAGACAGTGTAAGCAGGGGAGGGGCAGAGAGAGAGGGAGACACAGAATCTGAAGCAGGCTCCAGGCTCTGAGCTATAAGCACAGAGCCCAACGCGGGGCTCGAACTCACAGACTGTGAGATCATAACCTGAGCCGAAGTCAGACGCTCAACCGACTGAGCTACCCAGGCGCCCCAAGAATTTTCTTTGTTTTTAAAGCCAAATAGTATTCACACTCACACACACACACACACACACACACACACACACACACACACACACATATTGTGTTTATTTGTTCATCTGTCACAGGATACTTGAGTTATTTCTACCATTTGGTTGTTGTGAATAATGCTGCTATGAACTTTTGTGTTCAGATACTTCTTTGAGTCCCTGCTTTCTGAGTCTCTGGCTGTATACCTCACAGTGGACTTGCCAGATTATATGGTCATTATTGGTTTAATTTTTTTGAGGAACTGTTATCCTGTTTTCCACAGTGACTACGTTTTACATTCTCACCAAGAATGGATCCCAGTTTCTCCATAATCTTGCCGGTACTTATTTTCTCTGGTTTTGATAATAGCCATCCTAACAGTTGTGAAGTGGTATCTTATTGTGGCTTCAGTTTGTGTTTCCCTCATGGGTAGTGATTTTAACCATCTTTTCATGTACTTATTGACTATTTGTATATCTTCTTTGGGGAAATGTCTGTCTGTGTCATTGGCCTGTTTTTTAATTGGGTTGCTTGCTTTTTTGTTTTTGAGTTGGAGGAGTTCTTTTATATATTCTGGATATTAATTCCTTATCAGGTATATGACCTGCAAATATTTTCTCCCATTGTGTGTTGCTTTTTCACTCTCGATAGTGTCCTTTGATGTGCGAATATTTTAAGTTTTGATGTAGTCAATTTATTTCATATTTTGCCACCTGTGCTTCATTACTGAATCCAGTGACATGAAGCTTTTCAAAAATTGTGTTTTCTTCTAAGAGCTTTATAGGTTTTATAGGTTTTGTTGCTTTTCATTATGTCTTTGATCCATTTTGAGTTAATTTTAAGGAAATGGTCCAACTATATTCCTTTGTACATAGATATTCAGTTGTCCCACCACCATGTGTTGGAAAGTCTGTCCTTTCCCCCATCAAGTGGTCGTGGCACCCTTATTGGAAATCTTTGATCATAAATGTGAGAGTTTAGGGGTGCCCGGGTGGCTCAGTTGGTTAACTGTTTGACTTCAACTCAGGTTATGATCTCATGCTTCATGAGTTTGAGCCCCATGTCAGACTCTGTGCTGACAGCTCAGAGCCTGGAGCCTGCTTTGGATTCTGTGTCTCCCTCTCTCTCTCTGCCCCTCCCCCGCTCATGTTCTGTCTGTCTCTCTCTGTCTCTCTCAAAAATAAACATTAGAAATTTAAAAAAAAATAAATAAATGTGAGAGTTTATTTCTGGGCTCTCTGTTCTATTCCATTATTCTAGATGTCTGTCTTTATGCCATTACCACACTGTTTTGGTTACCATAACTTTGTAGTAAATTTGGAAATTAGGAAATAGGAGTCTTCCAACTTTCTTAATGGTTTTCAGAATTGTTTTGGCTATGCAGGGTTCACATCACCATTTTTAATGTATGTAGTATTCCATTAAATATCCATACTCTCTTTTATTGGTGGGACATTTAGGTTGCATCTAATGTTTACACTGTCATAAACAGCAGTACAGCAAATATCCTGATGATATACATGTTTGCACACTTCAATTTCTTTATAATGTTTTTATTTTAATGTTCATATTTTTATTAGTTTATAAATACTCCTTAAGGATATGAATACTTTGTATGTTTTATATGCTGCAAGTTTGTCATTTGCCTTTGACTTGGTTTATTTAACTGCGCAAGCACAAACAAGGAGAAGCCTGTGTTTGCCTCCTGGAGCCTCCAGTGACTGGCCACTTGTGGGATGAGCACTGGCTTCCCTGTACTGAGATAAGTAGTGAGTGCCAGAGGGAGGCAAGATGATATAATGCACCGCTCTATTGTTCACTCTGTAGGAGAAAAGCTGTGTTAAGTATTCCTCGCTGAAAGTTAACTTGGAGCGAAAGCACTATCTTCCCTTTCCTTTCTACTTCTGCTAACAGTTAATCTTTAATGGAGCATGTCTTGTGATGTTCATACCTTAGCCAGTCCCCTCCTTTGCTGCCATCAAGCAGTCCCTGCTCCCGCCTCCCCTGGATACCTGCGCCCCCACAGCAGCCCCCTGGCTGGCTTCCTTGCGCCTGCTCTGGCCAGTGCCTCGCCTGCTCTTCACACTTCATTCAGTTCGTGTTATCCCTTAAAATCAGAGGTCTGATCTTGTGAACCTCTTCCCCACGGCTCCAAGGGTGCAAGCTAGGGTCCTTCGAGTAGCTGCCTGTCCAGCCTCATCTTGTCTCACTTTTTCCTTCTTTCTTGCTCCAGTCATAGCAGCTTAATTCCTTTCTTCCAAATCTCCATTCTTCTACTCATCTTGGGGCCTCTGCCCATGTTGGAGCCCTGGTCTCCACTTTCCCTGTGCTCAGTCTTCTCTCTGCTCAAAATCACTCCTCAGGAAGCTTATCCTGGAGACAGGTCTCCTTGTTATAGGCCCACAAGCATCCTGAACACCATTCCATGAATGTCTGTCTCTCCACAGACATGTAAGCCGCCTGAAGACAGGCTCTGCCCCTTTTATTACCATTGTGTCTCCAGCTTGGAGGACATTTTCTGCTTTGCAGTAGGTACTTAAATGCTTATACAGATGATAAATTACACACATGTTATATCTTTCCTCTTCCTAGTAAGGTCAAGGGTTTCCATAACCTCCCCATCCTGCCTTGTCTCCTCCTGCTACTCACTTTCCTGTCTCCCACAAGCCTGCATTCCTTATCCCTCTGCCTTTACATTTACAGGTTTTACCTTTGTCTGGAAAGCTCCTACTTAACCTTTAAGACCCAACTTAAATATTAGTTCTCCAAAGTCTTTCTCAGTTTGTCTTCTTCTGGCACTTACCACCTTTAATGTATTTGTCACATTGTACTGTGACTGTGTTATAATCAGTTTACCT